AAGGGAGAGCCCCTTTTGTTCCTTTTGCAATATGATTGTCCTTTGGATCCAAGTCCAGATTAAGCAAAGCAATGTGAAAGAAAAAGTATTTAAATATGTGGATGAGGTAGTTGTTTACAAGCTTACAGTTGTTAGATATGCTTCACATCACATAAGTCTCCAATTAATCACTCACAGGCTTTTTCTTTGTGTCAATTTCCTTCTCTAAAGCTAGTGTGAGAAGCTTCCAAAATCCCCGGGACCATTCATTTATAAACTGCAAATAGTATTTCTTCCATGCCACACATCACATTCACGATTGGAAACAAATCTTTTCCCCTCTCTCCAGAACAGGTTTGTTGTTTAACATGAATGCTGTGTTGCTTCTATACATCACTGTCTTAGCACTAGAAAAGTGCTCATGCATAATGTATTTATATCTGATACTACCTCAATTTTATCTGTTTCTCTCCAACTTCTCAAAATTGATTCTTCTACTCCTTTCCATTACAAAGATTTGACAAATAGACAAAGCAAAACCGGTGCTTTTTGATGCAATCCATAGTTTGTTCCCATTTCAGAATGTTTCGTAAGTATAATCTTTCCTTTGTCCTCAGTATGTACTTCAATTGAAGAAGGCTGTTCTACTGTCTGCTATGGTGGTTTTGTTGCTATAGATGTTCCTCCTCCACAGGGTCCCCTCTGGTAATCTATTCTATATCATGTTAATGTAAATTATGTATGCTACTAAATCACTCAGCAATGAGCCAAGTGCTTGGTTTTCTCTTTCCCCACTATATCCTTATGTTATGTGTGACATGACAGTAATGGTATGTTTGCAGGGTTCTTGGAAATATATTCATGGGGGCATATCATACAGTATTTGACTATGGAAATCTCCGTATAGGATTTGCAGAAGCTGCATAGTTATAGCTTGGTGATATTACTTTGCCAAATTCGTTTTGAATGATAAAAATGGAGGTCTGCATGATCCACAAATAATAATTGCAGTTCTTGAGAATTTGTCTCAAGGTCTCTATTCAGTTGTAAATGGTGATTGGAATATTCTATGAATAAAATTTGTGATATTTGTTCCCAAGTGTTAAAATGAGAGAAAAACAAGAGATAAAGAATATATAATATATTATATATATCTATATATAATATATATATATATATATATATTAATAAGCAGAAAGAAAAAAAACTCTCAAGAGAGAGATGTGTAAATAACTGGTGCATTTAGTTTTACAATACTAAAAAGTTATAAAATGTCCTACACTCTATGGCAGTAAAAAACCTCTTACTCATCAGTGAGTTGAAAAGGGATTGTAATAAAAATAGATTGAAAAAAAAAAAAAAAACCTGGATTCCTTGCCCGACAGATGTAGTTGTTTCAATCTCGTTTGGAAAACAGCTGAGATACCAAAGAAAATAGCTCGAATGTCATTTGTCACTCTATGCACATGTGTTGTTGATAATAAAAACATTGGTTTACATTATAGTAGTGAAGCGTAATCAGATTTAATTGGGACTAATATTAGCAAGAACAACATTTTTGAAGAGTGTTGAATATTCAGTTACTCCCCTTGTAGACATAAGGAAATCTTGACCAAATGCTATGAAAAAAATAAATACAAATGTCACACAATGAAGAAAATTGAATCAGAGGCATATTATGAGACATAAACCTGATGGGAAGGGGAAGATAATTGGCCAGAACTCTTAAAAACTGTATTGAGACATAGGGAAGGTGTCTACAGGAGGACTTTCGATTTCCACTTGAATCATCAAACTTACAGGCGAAATCATATACGTCAGACCTTACAATCTGTGAAAGTTTTTTAAGTTATCATCAATGATGAGGGGAAGAAAGCCGCGGAGGCGTGGGGGGACGGGAAGAGAGGGGGAAAAAGGAAGCGAAAAGAGGGGAAGAGAAAGGGGGGTGGGGGGGATGTAAGGGAATGGGGACGGAAAGAAAAGGGCAGGGGGAGGAAGGGTGAATGGGGTGTTAATGTGGCACGGTCAATGCAAAATCTGCCCACGAAGGGTCACAAAACGGGAGGTTCCAAGGCAGGCGCACGGACCGCCAAAGCAGGGCGCAAGGACCGCCAAAGGGACGCAAAGAAACAACAACAAGCGGTGAGCTGCAAATCCCCTCAAGGTACGCCTACTCTTCCCTTTTCAAAGACATCAATCTGAAGAGTTTTTGTTATAAGGATACCTATATATATATATATATATATATATATGATCGAATCAAGCCCAATAAATATGAAATGAATATTTTTTTTATAAGATAAAATTAGTTTATAAATTAGTTTATAGTTTATAAAAGTTAATTTAAATTTTTGTTTTTACTTTTCTACTTGATAAATCTTTATGAAAATAATTCATTTAAGGGTATATTATTTTAACACTTAATAAATTTTTGCGCACACTTCACATTTATTATTTAATACTTTTTTTCCTTAAACAAAGTTAAATTTTTTTAATATAACTAAATTACTTCTAAAAATGGACTGTAGCGTAAAAAAAGAAATCATTCTTACCTAGGAAGGGACACAACGAAGGGCAATCACTCGTTGCCGTCGCGGAGCCAAAAAAGAGAAGAGTAAAAATATGGAAGCACGTGATTCTCATAAGGTAAAAAAAGTGTTGTTTGGTAAACACAAACTTTTTAAGAAGACATAATAGTGCGAATAGGGGGATTTGATGATCAGAGCTGGGTTTAAATATTTTTATAAAATTGTAACAATTTCAACACCAAGAATTAGACAAAAACAGGGCTATTAAACAAACAAGGACGAGGACGAAGAGTGAGGCGACCGGCACTGTTCTGTGCTTGTCCAAATATTTTTAGGTTAAGAAAATATTGTCAGAAAGAATGGAAATATCAAGCATACCCAAACTTATTTGACATTATTGCATTATCAAATAGACCCAATAGCGTAGGTAATAACACTAAAAGTAATGGATTAGGACAACCTATTACTGTCAACTCATGAATAAGTCGAGGGGGTGGTAGCACGCTGTGTGTGTGAAATTAATAATTAGAATATGAGAAAGAAATCATTTGTTACTTTTTTCATTAGTTGTAGTTATAGATTCATCATATCTAAAAATTTTATACCTTAAATATAATAAAAGAATATCAGTGTGTCATTCAACTTTTAGTTTTTTTTTATGCTATTCATCAAGTTGCAGACACAAAAAGGAGAGAGGAAAAAGCTTCCCACTTCATTTTCTATATCTATCCCGTAGAAATAATAACTTGTTCGATTCTATTCACGTTTATTGTTTTCTCGGTTCTTTTTCAACTTGTCCTCATCAAGTATAATAGAAATCTTATAATTTTTTAGGTCATTATATATAGAATTGAAAGGGGATAATTTCGTCAACATTTATTAAAATAGAAACCATACCAATAATTAACCAGAAGGACAGTTCAAACACATAAGTAATTTAACAAAATAAAGTATATTCTGTTATGCGATAACGAGATAATCTTGATGTAGTAAAAATAGCGGCATCTAAAGCTAAGCCTGGGAAGTGTTGGATGGCGGGAAGGTAAGAACAAAGTGACAAAAGAAGAGTTAACAGATAAGTAAGAGAATTACAAAATCTTAAGAATGAGGATAACTACTCGTGAAATGACCCCAAACGTAACGCTAAATAAGGAAAACTTCTAAATGACATTATTGACGAAGAGAGAATAAGTAGGTAGTACGTGTACTTTAATGTTTTGTGACAATACAGGGGTTAAGTATTTATTTATGTGACAAAATATGTCTAATTTAAAAAGCATTGGGAGTGGGTGACTCGGAAGTTGGCGACATATTTGCTTGATAATCTTCCACATTGGTGTGTTGGGAGGAATACCATCCAAAATGAAAAAAACAAAAAAAAAGAAAAAAAAAGAGAAAGTGATGAATGTATATTGTGAGACCATTATAGGAATATCTCGACCTGCAAAGAGCAGTATCTTTACAAGTATGAAAGTACAAACCTTTTTTTTTTTATGATAACACTAGTATAGTTAATTACAAGACCAAAAAGCAAAACTGTCAAATATGTCATTAATTATTCTTACAAGTATAAAAGCTAAGGAACCAATGTGTGGTGTGAACTGAGAGTCTCAGGAAAACTGACCTCTCGTCTTTCTCACACACAAACACACATATCATTGTCTTGCTGCAGGAAAAGAAGCAGATTTTCTATTTGATTTTTATTTGCGGAACTATATAGCCATAAGAACTCGATATCAACTCAGTTAGAGCAAGGTGATGAGGTGATGAGGTGGTTTTATGCAGGGCATCTGAACAAGGGTCATAACACTGCTAGTCGTACTGATGTGGGGTGTGGTTATTGCTGTTCTTCTGAGAATCTCCGGTGAGTGAAGAAATGGCTGAAAAAAGAGCTGCCTTGAGAGAAGGGTCTTTGGTTATGGCCTGACTGACAACATCCACCAATGCAAGGTTTTTGTCAGGGCTTAAAAAGGTTGGAACTTTGGAACACAATAAGGGCAACCCTTGATGAGGGTGGTCATGCAGTGGGAGAGGGAAGAAAGGGTGTGAAGTGGTGGCCCTTTGGAACTGGAGATAGTTGTTGTTGTTGTTGGGCTGAGTCAAGTCCAGTGTTACTGTGGGACATGTTGCACTATGGGAGAAAGTGGCTTAACTGCCAGTTGGGGAAGGAAAGGAAGGGAACAGAATGACAGCGATGAGATGAGAGAAAGACGGGTGTGAGTTTGGTTGAGAGTGGTGGTGACACAGCAGAAACTCGTGAGTGAGGCCAGATAGGAACATGTTCAAGCTGCTGTGATGTTTGAGCTTGCCAAAGATCTTGCTGCCAGTGGGAGTGGTGGGTATGGTTCCTTCATAGGTTGTGATGAGAACAGTCTCATCTTAAAACACATCTTGCAACCTGTTGCAATGTAATTACCCCACCATATTCCTGTAAAGTAATTAAAACTGCTAAATGTGACAACTAGATTTTCATTAAAAACTTTGTTCGTTTTCCTTGAACATTGTTTTTGTGATAATTTAAGGTTTTTTTAAGATTTTGGGACAGAAACCTGCTTACGAACTGGACATGCAGTTCCCATGCTGCAACGGTAGTAGGCTCGGGGACAAGGGTTGCCTTTGGCAGTCTTTTGTCCGTACTTTCTCCATTGGCATCCATCTCCCATCTGAATGCATTACAACATCAAAAGTTATACTCAAATCCACATTAAATTCATTACAAATGTCCAAATGGACTCGACCAAACTCACACTTAGCTCTTCAATCAACTCACCCTAACTCACTTCTTTTTCATATATTAGTTTTTTTTGGAATTTATCCACCTGATATTAATAGGTTAGATAAGTTAATTTACTTAAACATAATTTATTTTTCTAACCTGTTACTTATATTATATTTATTGTAATAGAATCAAAAATATTCATTTATAATTACTTATGATTAGACCATTCTTTTAACGTTAAAAAAACAGAACATTTGAGTTAACTCATATACAAAGTTCCAACACAATATCAAATATTAGTAGAGTATATTGAATAGATTACATAAAACCTTTAAATAAAAAATAAAAAAACTCATTGTTAACTAATCTTATTATTTAGAAAATATCTCACTTAAACTCTCAACCCATATATTGTTGATATCCATTAATTCAAAATGAGAATAATTATTAATTAGGACAAATAACGCTGATATTATAAGATACGAAAAATCAAAAGAAAATCAAATATGCAATAAGCAAACAAGGTAAAGTAAATTAAATATTTTTAAATCTTAAAAATACTATATTCTAAATATTAAAAGGAAACCCGTGTCGATTATATCTTTACTAATGGTTAAACAATTATTATAATAAAATAAAAAAATACAAATTGTTAATGGTGAATTTGCATAAGCTTTATTTGAACTTGCTTACTCATATTTTAGTAAACCGGATTTAATTTAATTCATATTAAAAAGAATTGTATTATTTTCCAATCCAATTATACGGAAATTTGTAATTAGTCAAAATTAACTTATGAATAATTCATTTTGACATATCTAATTCTAAAATACATATAAATTAGATTTTATAAACCAACATAATTAAGTTAAACTTAAACTTAAAATATTATCAATATAAAATAACAAATTTAGGTAAAAAAAAGAGTTTACCTATTAAATACTCTTTATATCTCAAAGTCAGACATTAATTCTTTTAAGGTACAAAGGTGTAGTAAGGTTACCTTCTTTTTGACAAATGTCTTTCTATAACACCGTCCAATTATTGAACTTTTAATCAAATATTTAATACTATATTTTGTCAAAACTATCATGCTATATTAATGTAATTTCTTTTTGTCTAAATTAATATTTTTTAAATAAGTTTTCCGAGAGGCATGATAATTTCACGCGTTTGTTTTACTTAATTACACCCCCCTCGCACATGTGATAAGCTTTTTATAATACAAAACCACACGTTATTTTATTTTTTTCACATTGAAGGAGAGGGGCTTTCAAAGAAAAGACCGAAATAAGAAATATTAGAAAAAGAAATATTTCCACTGTCTATACACAATGGGAAACCTTGCAGTGCTATGGGGAGGGAAGGACGGATCAGTCAACATATGTTAATAGAGATTATATCGAGAGAGTCGATAAGGATATAATATATATAGGGAATTATATATAGATAGATGATATATATAGAGATAGACACACAACACACACCACCCCACATAGGATTTTTTTTGTTGAGATAACTATGATTTCCAATAAAATTTAATATTATAAGTTTGTTGAAGATGAAATTATAATTAACTATAAAATGACTGCTATTGATCTAATGTAAAATTAAATTGCAGTCAAGGTAGAGTATTTTTTTTTATTTGCATTTACAATGACAAGAATTAAGTATGTTGTGCGAGGTGTTTTTTGAATGGGTTGTAACAAAAGGAGAGGTTTAGATACGAAAAAAACAATCTATGAAGAAGTGTTTTATGGTTGTTATTTTTTTAATGAAAAAAATGAGGTTTTTTTTTTTTATATTAACACGCTGATAAAGGAAAGTAATAAGTTTTTCATTCAGTAATTACAAGGCAATATTAAAATCCAATGGCATTGCTGGATTTTTACACAGGTGTCAGCAGGCCAGGGTATGTCTTATTATTGAGACAAATCTTATTCTTTTTTCTTGCTATAATCAGTCAACAATTTCTATGTAAAAGTAACAGATATTATAATTTATAAAGAATAAAAAAACGATTTGCACCCCTTCAGTTTTCTATCTATTTTTTTTTAAAAGAAAAAAAAAAAAACTTCATCACTTCAAAAGTTGGTGTTGTTGCGTGTGGGATATTTTTTCTATATAAAATTTCAAGTCCTATAGAAAGCCATAATAACACAATAGTTACCAAATGAGATACAAATTCTTACCAAAGAAAAATCTGATCGTGCTCTTATGGATACTTTAGCTCTTCTGCAAGTAACCTCAGATGCTTGATCTTCTATGCATTTTGCTTCATGCAATGCTATTTTTGTGTTCATTTCACCTTCAACAATATTCTTTTTCTCACATGCCAGGCTTCTGTCTAATGTTTTCTTTTCAACCTTTTCTGTATAACCCTCTGAAAGTGAAGAACAGTCACCAATATTCAAAAACTGCCGAGTGTGTAGCATTGGTTTCTCCACATCTTGTATTTTTCCCTTCAAAAGATATACAACTTTTTTAGTTATCTTCTTCAAAATCATAGGACATGATTATAACGCAAAAATCATTAGCACTCATCAACATTTATTGATAAAAGTCAGAAACTACAACTCAATTACAATGTTTATAAATTTTTCTGATCACATTGCAATTGCATATGTCAAAATTTTGACAACATTTAATGATCTCAATGAAATGGCATCTATGTGAGTCTCCAATTCAAAATATTAATTATTTAATTTCCTATGAACTTCCTGGTTTTATTACAGTTTTTCCCTCAATCATTTTACTCTTTCTACACTTATATATTTTTCTGTCAAATGCATATACGTCATGAAAGTTACAAGAACAACAAAATAATGTTTTTTTCTTTTGTTTTGGTCATATATAGTTGTTGTTTATCTGTTTGTCTTGAATTCCCGGTATAGCTAGCTAGAAGATAGAGACCTTCTGGGCCTGACATTATTGCTGGCACTGAATATATACGCTGAGTTGTTGACCAAGTAAAACTAACTACATTAATTGCTTAATTTTTTGGCAATTAATCTAAAATTTTGAATCAAAGTAATTACAAAAGGAAGGTTAACCCACATGCTTATAAAAGAAGCTTATCATTACCTGCGGACTCATGATTATTGGTTTTATTGAGAAACTGATGAAGAGAGTTGATGTTGCTGCATCTCAAAAAGTATTCGATTCTGAAGAACAGTGCAGTGTTCATTAACCTTGGTTAGCATGGTCTTTAGGATTGGATTTCATTCTCTTTCTTAGCTTCTTCAAGCTTGATTCTCAGCATGCCCATCTAAGAATAATTTAATCATGCATGTTCAGTAAGGGACATGAAAATTTATGCTTAGAAAGAAAATAAACAGATTTCTGAGCTTTATGGGGTACCCCAGAAAGAAATTAATATCACCTCAATGGTTCAAGGGACTGTCCAGAGTTATTAGTTATTCAGGTTCAAGGAGGGAACGAAGGGAGGAGAGGGAGAACACCGGATTCCCATCTGCATAATTTTTTTTTCAAATCGCTTCAATCAAAACATGTCATCTTGTTAAAAATTCTGCTAAAATGTAAAAAATGGAATTAAGCTAGGAGATCGAGACCAAGGTCAACCTCAATAATGGTCTCATGGATCATATTTTTTTGTAATATTTTAAGGTTTTGAAAGCAATCTGATCAACAACCAGAGTTTACAAAAATCTGAGAAAATTAAGCAGTAAGAAAACTTACAGTATTATGAAGGAAGGGTTCATCGTTCCGTTTCCTGTTGTATTACAATCGTAAGGCCTTTCTTCATCTTTCAGGCAAATTTTTTAAAGAAGATTTTTCTTCCATGTTTCTCTGATGGTTACCACTACTGAGAGATGGTGATATCAGATATCCATATATATAAGTGATTTTCCCAGAGACTTTAATCTCTTTACCAAACTTTTGAGGCTTAACTATATAGTGGGTGTAGTCTACAGCGTTTATGGACGAAATTTTGCAGAGTCCTTGCCTAAGTCTATTTCTAATACCTTGTTTTTCCATCCAAAATATTTAATACTTTAATTAAATTTAAAGTATAAAAATAACATCAAGTAAAGGATGGAGAAAGGAAATATACTTTTCTACACCGAATATGAAAATGACCTCATTGAGGTTGGAGATAAGATACAGTCTTCTTCAAGATAATAAATAATATTGTGAGTATTTTATTTTAAAAGTACATCTTTAATGTGAAACTTTCCATTAATAATCTTATTTGAGAGAAGAAAAATATAAGAAAAAAATATTTTTTATTATTTATCCGTGATAGAGGCTCCTCCAGACAGGTTGAATTGGAAACCCTAGTGTCAAGACAAATTGTGATAAGGGACTTGCTAACTAATTAAGGAACCATTTAGAGTACCAAAATAACGTATTCAATTGTTCTAAACTGAACACTCATTTCGAACGAGTTAAAAATAAAGTAGTTTTAATTATCATAAATTCAACTTAATCAATAAATGGTCGATGGAGTGATATACAAACAATTTTCTAAAAAATAAGATCTTGTAAATAAAAAGATATAATTTGAGACAAATAAGAATTAAATATATTTTTAATTCTTAAACTTTGATACGAAATTAGAAGTTGTTATTTTTTAAAATTTTAATATATTTTTGTCTTTAAATTTTAAAAATGAATAAACATGTTTTTTTTAATCAATACGTTATTTTTTTAATAATTAAAGGAGTTTTCATCGTTAAGATTTAGGTGTTTTACACCCATAACATAACATTAAAAACCAGTAAACATTAAATGGAGAATGTATTAAATCAGGTAAAAAAGGTAAGAAGTTAATTAAAGAATTAACTGTAACCTATTTATGTTAACACGTAAATTTTTTAAATATATGAATTTAAAAATATTATTCATTTTTATTAAATTTTGTTTTGAAGATAAAAATTCTAAAAATTTATGATTAGAAAAGAAATAAATTTTAAGAGAATTATTGAAAAATACTTTTAAAACATAGAAATATTGATGGGAAATTAATAAAAATAATTAGTTATGAATAGCTGGTACAAAAAATAAAATCATAACTTGTTAACTCAAAACATTACAACAAAAAGTTTATAGAATCTTGTACTTAATCATTTTACTAATTATTATCCAATATCCAATTCTCTTGAACCCTAACTTTTCTCTCTCTCCAAAGACTTCACTAATGTGTTTCAACATGATAACTAATAATTTTTAATATTATTATAAAAGTTTTGTAATTTTTCAATTTTGTTCTTTTAACAAAACAAAATATTAATGTATATATGAGATAACATGGGATGCCACATGTTAATAAGGGTGAGAGAATGAAAATTGAAATAAATGGTTTTTCACATATTCGTAAAGAATCTTGCATGGACCAACAAGCTTTTCACATATTTCACTGACTAATCTCATGCTCCGACCAAACTTTCTTCATGTTCGACCTTTCCATGAGAACCATCGAACTTTACCTCGCTTCATTCAAGTTCTTCAATTTTTGTTTTTCAAATTTAAAAATTCCACTTTGGACAAATATATTACTTAAAAAAAATTATAAATTCATTTATGAAATTCCACATCCAACTATGTCAAAATTGTGTGAAAAAAAAAGTGTATTAAAATATCATTTCCCTTTAATTCACATGATCTTGGTTGTTTTTCTTGCCACATATTCCATGAATCCAGGGATACAATAAAGTGGTAGACTCCGCTTTGAAATAAATGTTTTGATTTTACTTGGAACTGGTGTGATAATGAACTTAAAATATATTTAGATTAGTTGTAAATTTTTATATTTTTCATATGTTATTTCTATTCTTGAATTTTCGATTAAGTGTATGACATGTCAATTTTATTAATTTTGACAATTTGTACACATATGATTGGATAATGATATTTTGACAACATTTTAATACTATCTACGTGTCATCTTGTGATTGATTCATGTTGGTGCTTATTTTTATTATTGATTGAGGAGTAATTTTGGATCAATCACATAATAATACATAAATTATGTTAAAATGTTGTCAATAAAGTGTTGTTAAATATTGTCCCATATCTCATATGATTATAAGTATATATGAAACTCTTGTTTAAATCAGCTTGAAGTATGGTTTCTTAGCTTCATATTTAAGTAAATTTTATCTATTAAATCTATTGCTTAAATGGTTTAAGATTTCAAATATATACACCGTTCCTCTCTCCAACGAGGAAGAAAATAGTAATAATTATATTAAGTAATTCATACTTAATTAATAAATTCAACCGAATTTCAGAAAGATTTTTTTTTTAATTTCAAATTTATTTCATTTCATCTCTCATTCAAAATTTCAATATTATTTTAAATATATCTCGGCATTTTTTAATAAAATAATAAATTTAGGAGAAACAAATTTTCTTAGAAGCTAAACTATCCGATTATGAGATTTAAGAAATTGTTATTATTTTGAATACTAACATTACTGTCGTCAGCGTATCATGTCACAACTTATTATTATTTATCCCAATGCATATAAATAAATATATTTAATGCGAATGTCAATTATAGTTATCCTATTGAGACTAAATTTGTGATTAAAATTTATTGATAGATTAAAACAAAATATTGAAAAATAAAACTGGTAAGAATTTAAGCATACATCACATGATTATAAAACTGTCCACGCGTAACTCGTTCTAGAATTAGCATATTGCCGTGAAGCCCTGAACACGACCAACACCAGTTCGCGTCGTTATAATTAGTACAAACTCCAGTGTCGTCTGGATTCTGGGAATATAGCAAGAATATTGATCGTTCTAGTACGCATGTGCTACATCGTATGCTGAAAACTGCTGCAGTTACTTCCACTCCCATTACCGTGCGGAAAACAACATCATCTTAAGCGAAACTACGTAGTGGTTTCCATGTAAGGTTGAATTGTTCCTTGTCAGCATAAAAAACAACTTAAACAGAAAATTAACAAGTAAGCTTCGATTTTGAGGTAAAGGGGAAGCTGTAAATTGTTCAAACTTCATACCCAGTAGCTATTAGGTGTATAAAATTGCAAGACCCGTATGTTTGTTTAGTTCCATATACGAAAGGCATGTTACTCCTCTTTATAGTGTAGGCCTATACCTTTTTCATCAGGTGTGAAATTTTCATGTTTATATGTTGTCAATCACTATTGATTTTAGATTTCCAGTATATTTCCTTGACTTCAATCTGTGAACCTTGAAATTGTTGTGTTTTGCTTCTGATGTTAATTCAAAGGATAGTATCATGATTTTCTTTTTCTGGTTTTGTTTAGAAATGTCTTTGTTTCTTACATGGCTGGCATTTGAATGAACTTGAGGTTTTTAAAATTCTGCTGTTAACTTTACTCAAACTATTGAAATTGTTAGCAGAACAGAAAACGGAAAAGATTATCTGATTGTTGTGATTAGTTTGTTGGTTTTATATTGCTTCTGCTGAGTTTATTGAACATGTTGAACCAGATGATTTGTAAGAATGGCTTTGAAGTGTCTGCTGGTTGTTATGTGTGTTTGGGCTTGGTTAGGATCGTTGACTTTTGCAACTTCTGATGATGGGTTGATGAGGGTTGGTCTAAAAAGGAGGAATTTAGACTTTCAGAGTCTTAAAGATGCAAGAATCAAAGAGTTCGTTCGTCCTACTGATTTAGGGGGTGATCAAAAAAATTGTTGTGATGAAGATATAATATATCTTAAGAATTATGTTGATGCACAATATTTTGGGGAGATTAGTATTGGTTCACCCCCTCAATACTTCAATGTTGTGTTTGACACTGGCAGCTCAAATCTTTGGGTTCCATCTTCCAAATGCATCTTCTCTGTAAGTTACCCGATTATCTGATTCTGATGCAAGTGCTTACTCATTAGTATTTGTTTTATTTTTGAATGAACATGTTTTAAAAACACTCATGGCATGTGCAGATCGCTTGCTATTTTCATTCCAAGTATAGGTCGAAGATATCTAGCACCTATACCGAAATTGGTAACTTTGGATTATCATGTCATATCATTGAAAAGATAAATTAATTGATTTCATTTTAGATGCCTTCATTTGTTTTTATATGCAGAAATATAAATGCTGTTTCAATGAACATGCTTAAAGTTGCATTTGGGAAAATATGCAGGGACGCCTTGCAGTATCCCTTATGGCCAAGGATCTATTTATGGATTCTTCAGCCAAGATAATGTACAAGTTGGAGATGTCATCATCAAAGATCAAGTCAGTGTATTGACCTCTGTTAGTTTTCAATCAGATTATGCTGCTTTGGTTTTGCTGATGATTTGTAATTTCCCATCCTTCAGGAATTTGCGGAGATTACAAGAGAGGGATCATTCACACTTTCTGCACTTCCATT